TGAATAGTTTGTGCACTACAGAATATGTTTTTTTTAATCTATCGGATATCTAACACATGTAGAAACCCATCATCACGCTTAAGAATATCCAAACCAGACTGAAAGTACCACATAAATGTACCACATTTGCATGGAAATATGCCTTGTCAGGAATCCTGTGCATACTCTCTCCCCTGCTTACCTAATTTGTTCCAGGGATACACTGGAAGTAGAGTCGAGTTGATTCCCTGTGGTAGCCTCATTGACCTAATATTTTAGCTAAGCAGCTCTGCAGTACTCCCGGACAACGTTGATGATTGATCAGCCTGCCTCGCTCATCAGTGGGATTTTTAAGGATAGACCTGAGAGTGGGGGACAGGATTCTTCACAGTTGTTAGCTGATAACCTTGCAAGCTATCATAAACCTTGCAAAGTCAGGGATTAGGACCCGAGTGGGGCTGGGTGGGGGTTTTGGGATCAGGGAGGGTGGAGGTGCAGAGAGCGTAGGAGGGTGGCTGAAGGCACGGTCAAAGAGGAGGGTCTTGAGGCGTGCCTAGAAGGAGGTAAGGGAGGGAGCGAGGCAAGGAGAAAGTGGGATGGAGTTCCACAGGGTGGGGACAGAGAGGCTGAAGGGCCGACTGCCGATGGTGGGGCGATGATGATGAAAGATCCTCTGATACTATTTGAAAAGATGAGGGAATTTCTGCATACTCCAGGTGACAATTGAAGGATCTTAATAGCTGTTTGTGAGACACTGCTGTGCCCAACATTTGGCTGTCCCTTTCACTTACAAATTCACATGCTCGCACGAAGTGTGTGCTCGGAGCCTCTCAGTGAACTGGAAGACTATTGATCCTATCTCACACTGGTTGCTAAAAGTATTGTTCATCTTGTTACTAATGTGCAATGGGACAGAAAGAAGAAACTACTTGCATTTTTTTTGGAACCTTACCAGGTCTCAAAGCACTTTGAATATAATTACGGTGAATTGTAATGCCTTTTTTTTTGGCATATAGGCAAGCGTTCCAGGACGCTACCCTACGTGAAGGGCGCAATATGAATGCAAGTTGTTGTTGCATTGGCTAACGCAGCAGTCATTTGTGCCAACCAGACTCCCAAATTAGCCATGAGGTGAATGACAAATCAATCTGGAGGAATGTTGGCCTGGACCCCCCCCCAAGAATATATTGTTCAAATGGATCTTTAATCGTCCACTTGAACAGACGGACGGGACCCGGGTCAAGCAGGAAATCGCATGCATGGAAAATCCCATTGCAAACGATTAAGAAAGAGATCACTAACTCCAAGAGGCCATCCAATGCATTTAGGGGCTACGGTAAAAATGGTTTTGAACTGGAGTGACGTGTTCAATGAATGATTTTTTATTGGAAATGTTTCGGTATTTTCCAGATGCCAACCTGGTTCAGTTGTGGGACTTTTCATTGCATTTAGTGGAAGTGATTGAACTGCTGGATAACATTGTTCCAATGAACAAGTGAGTATCCAATATATTATTACATGTGAGGTCTCAGAGCAGCAAATGACATTTCAATACTCAAAGGGGTTCAATGCCAAGACGAAGAGACCCCATTTGCAGAGAAGCTGCTCGTTTAATCCGGAGCCAACTGGACACTGTAAAAAATGAACTCAATTTTCTCACAACAGCTCCGCACATTCATTCTGAGTGCGAGTGAGTGTTTGAATGCACATCAGAGAGAATTCCCACATCATGGGGATGTTTTGAGAAAATCAGCGAAAGCGCAGTCTTGTTTTAAGTTAATTTATTAGCACTTTTCATCACATTCATCTGTTATTTTCCACAGCAAAGAATCGCCCAGAGCTTGGATTAGAGTCTCGCTCTTGCACACACGTTAGAAGCAAAAACCTTGCACTGTCCTTTTAAATCACTGACCTGTCTGAATTTTATATGCATATATATATATATATATATATATATTTATGTTTATTTTTAAAAAACACTGCACCCAGAGGAATAGCATTTTTTTTTATTGACCAATGCAGCAATTGGGAAGTACACACGTAAACACGTCAAACAAACACACACAAAAACAATTACCTTTGAATAAATAAGTACAGATGTCAAAAGAACTACAGATGTATCTGGAAACAAAACACATTTGGTTTAAACTACTGTACCTGAGCCCTAAAGGACTTGTCTTTGCGGGTGTGTGTGTGTGTGTGTGTCAGTCTGTCTGTCTGTCTGTCTGTCTGTGTGTATGTGTGTGTGTCAGTCTGTCTGTCTGTGTGTGTCAGTCTGTGTGTGTGTGTGTGTGTCAGTCTGTCTCTGTGTATGTGTGTGTGTCAGTCTGTGTGTGTGTGTGTGTGTCAGTCTGTCTGTGTGTGTGTCAGTCTGTGTGTATGTGTGTGTGTCAGTCTGTGTGTATGTGTGTGTGTCAGTCTGTCTGTGTGTGTGTCAGTCTGTGTGTATGTGTGTGTGTCAGTCTGTGTGTATGTGTGTGTGTCAGTCTGTGTGTATGTGTGTGTGTCAGTCTGTCTGTGTGTGTGTCAGTCTGTCTGTGTGTGTGTCAGTCTGTGTGTGTTTGTGGTGTGTGTCTGTGTGAGTGTGTCAGTCTGTCTGTGTGTTTGTGGTGTGTGTGTGTGTGTTTGTGGTGTGTGTGTGTGTGTGTGTGTGTGTATGTAAGAGAGAGAGAGAGAGAGACATCCACAGAGGACCACTAACCACTGGAGATATTGCTTTCAAACATAAAATAAACAGCACTTGACGTCAGAGAGAGAGAGAGAGAGAGAGAAGGAATAATCATTATTACTCATCCGGAGCTGCTTCATGTGTGTGTTTCCCAAATCCTTTTTATTTCTGGATTTGCAATTTGCCGCAGACAGTTTGCCTTCACCTTTAAATCCTCTCTCTCTCTCTCCCTCTCTCTGTCCTGTTTCTCTCTTCGTTGCCCTTCGCATTCTCTCTCTCTGTGTCTGTCTCTCTGTCTGTCTGTCTCTCTCTCTCTCTGTGTGTCTGTGTCTCTCTCTCTCTCTCTGTGTCTCTCTCTCTCTGTGTCTGTCTCTCTGTCTGTCTCTCTCTCTCTGTGTGTCTGTGTCTCTCTCTCTCTCTGTGTCTGTGCCTCTCTCTCTCTGTGTCTGTCTCTCTCTCTCTCTGTGTCTGTGTCTCTCTCTCTCTGTGTCTGTCTCTCTCTCTCTGTGTCTGTCTCTCTCTCTGTGTGTCTGTGTCTCTCTCTCTCTGTGTGTCTGTGTGTGTCTCTCTGTGTCTGTCTCTCTCTCTGTGTGTCTGTGTCTCTCTCTCTCTGTGTGTGTCTGTGTGTGTCTCTCTGTGTCTGTGTCTCTGTGTGTGTGTCTGTGTGTGTCTCTCTGTGTCTGTGTCTGTGTGTGTGTGTGTGTGTGTCTGTGTGTGTCTCTCTGTGTCTGTGTCTCTGTGTGTGTGTGTGTGTGTGTGTGTGTGTCTGTCTCTCTCTCTCTCTGTGTGTCTGTGTGTGTCTCGGTGTCTGTGTGTGTGTCTGTGTGTGTCTGTCTCTCTCTCTCTCTGTGTGTCTGTGTGTGTCTGTGTCTCTGTGTGTGTGTGTGTGTGTGTCTGTGTGTGTCTGTCTCTCTCTCTCCCTGTCTGTGTCTCTCGCTCTGTGTCTGTGACTCTCTTTGTGCCTGTGGGTCTGTGTGTGTCTCTCTCTCTCCCTCTGTGTGTGTGTGTTTGTCTCGCCCACAAACACAGCTTTGTTGGGGTGTGTGTGTGTGAGTGTGTGTGGGGTGTGTGTGGGTGTGTGTGTGTGGAGGGTGTGTGGTGTGTGTGTGTGTGGTGTGTGTGGAGGGGTGTGTGTGTGTGTGTGTGTGGTGTGTGTGTGTGTGGTGTGTGTGAGTGTGTGTGTGGTGTGTGTGGAGGGTGTGAGTGTGTGTGTGTGTGGGTGTGTGTGGTGTGTGTGGAGGGTGTGTGTGTGTGTGTGTGGTGTGTGTGTGTGGAGGGGGTGTGAGTGTGTGTGTGGTGTGTGTGGAGGGGGTGTGAGTGTGTGTGTGTGTGTGGAGGGGGTGTGAGTGTGTGTGTGGTGTGTGTGGAGGGTGTGTGTGTGTGTGTGGAGGGTGTGTGTGTGTGTGAGTGTGTGTGGTGTGTGTGGAGGGGGTGTGAGTGTGTGTGGTGTGTGTGGTGTGTGTGGAGGGGGTGTGAGTGTGTGTGTGGTGTGTGTGGAGGGGGTGTGGTGTGTGTGGAGGGTGTGTGAGTGTGTGAGTGTGTGTGGTGTGTGTGGAGGGGGTGTGTGGTGTGTGTGGAGGGGGTGTGAGTGTGTGTGGTGTGTGTGTGAGTGTGTGTGTGGAGGGTGTGTGTGAGTGTGTGGTGTGTGTGGTGTGTGTGGAGGGTGTGTGAGTGTGTGTGTGGTGTGTGTGTGTGTGTGAGTGTGTGTGTGGTGTGTGTGGTGTGTGTGTGTGAGTGTGTGTGTGGAGGGTGTGTGTGAGTGTGTGTGTGTGAGTGTGTGTGGTGTGTGTGGAGGGGGTGTGAGTGTGTGTGTGTGAGTGTGTGTGTGGAGGGTGTGTGTGTGTGTGAGTGTGTGTGTGTGTGTGTGTGTGAGTGTGTGTGGAGGGGGTGTGAGTGTGTGTGTGGAGGGTGTGTGTGTGTGAGTGTGTGTGGTGTGTGTGGTGTGTGTGGAGGGGGTGTGGATGGTAGAGTTAATGTAGCCGCAGAAGCCGCTGACCGAGCAGCTCTGACGCTGAATATTTAATGTCTGGGGATGGAGACGGCTCCGGAGAGTTTGGAGAACGGTGTGAGTGGTGTGACCGGGAGGTCAGCAACAGCACAGCTCAGCAAAGACTCCCCACACAGCCTGACCCGAGCCCCCCCCTCACCATCCTCATCGCCGGAGACCTCCGGGAGTCACAGTCAGAGTCAGCCTCGCAACCAGTTCCCAAGCCTTGCTCTCCCTCTGGCTTAACCCCCCCCTCCACCTCCTCCTCTTCCTCCTCCATCACCTCCCCATCGCCCTCACCGCCTCCCTGGTCCTCTCCCTGCCCGAGGATGAACGACATCAACGTGGCCGGGGAGAACTCGCTGGATTCCATGGCAAGGGGGCGGCTGGAGCAGGACCAGGACCAGGTGCCTTCCGAGGACAACCGCTTGGAGTTGGAGTTCTTGGCCAGGAACAGGTCGGAGCGGGTGATCGTCAACATCGCCGGCCTCAAGTACGAGACCCAACTGGGTACCATCAACCAGTTCCCGGACACCTTACTGGGCGACCCCCAGAAAAGGATGAGATACTTCGACCCCTTGAGGAACGAGTACTTCTTCGACCGGAACCGCCCGAGCTTCGATGGCATCCTGTACTTCTATCAATCCGGCGGGAAGATCAGGAGACCGGTCAACGTCTCCATCGACATCTTCGCCGACGAGATCCGCTTCTACCAACTGGGCGCCGAGGCCATGGAGAGGTTCCGGGAGGAGGAGGGCTTCATCAAGGAGGAGGAGAAGCCTCTGCCCAAGCAGGAGTTCCAACGCCAGCTTTGGCTGCTCTTCGAGTACCCCGAGAGCTCCAGCCCGGCCCGAGGCATCGCCATCGTGTCCGTCCTGGTCATCGTCATCTCCATCATCATCTTCTGCCTGGAAACGCTGCCCGAGTTTCGGGACGAGAGGTACAACCTCGTGGGCCCCAATGGCACCCACATCTCCTCCATCCACATGAGCCTGACCGACCCCTTCTTCGTCATCGAGACCACCTGCGTGGTCTGGTTCACCCTCGAGCTCCTGATGAGGTTCTTCGCCTGCCCCAGCAAGTCGGTGTTCTCCAGGGACATCATGAACATCATCGACGTGGTGGCCATCTTCCCCTACTTCATCACCCTGGGCACGGAGCTGGCGGAACAGCAGTCAAACGGCCAACAGGCCATGTCCCTGGCCATCCTGAGGGTCATCCGGCTGGTCAGGGTCTTCAGGATCTTCAAGCTGTCCAGGCACTCCAAGGGGCTGCAGATCCTGGGCCAGACCCTGAAGGCCAGCATGAGGGAGCTGGGCTTGCTCATCTTCTTCCTCTTCATCGGGGTCATCCTCTTCTCCAGCGCCGTGTACTTCGCCGAGGCGGATGAGCCGTCGTCCTTCTTCTCCAGCATCCCCGATGCTTTCTGGTGGGCGGTGGTGACCATGACCACCGTGGGCTACGGGGACATGAGGCCGGTCACCATGGGGGGCAAGATCGTGGGCTCGCTCTGCGCCATCGCCGGGGTGTTGACCATCGCCCTCCCGGTGCCGGTCATCGTGTCCAACTTCAACTACTTCTACCACCGGGAGACGGACAACGCGGACCAGGGCAGCCTGAACGACGACGACGACAGCGCGGAGGGCAGTTCCTCGGAGGAGATGAGGAAGAGTAGGACATCTCTGGGCAAAGCCGGGGCTTTGGAAAATAGCGAAGGTATTAACAATGGGGCAGGGGCCAACCTGAAAGCCCTGAGCCCCCCGGACATCAGGAAGTCCCTCTACGCTCTCTGCTTGGACTCGAACCGAGAAACCGACTTCTGAGGGTTTGTCCCCAACACCCAACTGTAGGGAACCCAAACCACCAGGACATGTCCATCTGTGGCAAAAACCCTAGATGCTTTCTCTGTAGAACATTTTTTTTTCTCTCAAGGAAAGAACCGTTATGATTATTATTATTAATTATTATTATTATTATTATTTTTTAAACCCCCCCCTCCTCCCCAACCCCCCAAAAAAAAGGTTTGGAACTAGTTAGAGAGACACAGAGAGAGAGGGAAAGGGAGGGGGGGAGAAATTAACGTGGATTTTTATATATATAAATATATATACATGTGTGTTTGTGTACCATTTTGGGTTGTGCTTAAAAGAGAAGGTTATGTCAAGGACGTCAGGCGTAGACTTTGGTGCAGTTTTGTAATTCCAGGAAAACACAGAAATAACCCATCCATGTTTTCTTGAAATCTCCCAAAGTGCTATCATTCACACTTTTTTTTTAACAAAACCCCCCCTCCAAAAAAAAACAACGAGAAGTCCAATCACTGTCCATAAATATGATTACAGCTCTGTATTGTATTTGTGATGCCTTCGAGTCATGAAAGAAAGGAAAAAAAACCAAAGGGAGAAGTTTCTTTCAATTGACTTCTATTTCCACAGGTGTTTTTTTTTTGGTTGTTGGCTTATTTTTTTTTGGGTGGGGGGCAGGAAATTAGTCCACTTTAATGCTGTGGTCGAGAAGGAAACTCGTGGACCTCTTGTGCAGAGCCTCATCTTTGCTTTCAGATTTATTTTCTCAAAAGTTTTAGGTTTTGTACACACAGAGAGAGGAGTATGAACACATGAGATAAATAGGCAGAGTGGTGAATGTCAATGCAAAGCTTGTGGTTTACACTGAGAGAGATTCAAACAGTATTTGTTGTGCAGTCACTCCTAGAATTGGACAAATGTGAAACAGTCCCTTCAGTTAGTTTGGCAAGTGCTTCAATCATGATGAACAGCAAAGCTGGACACAGCAATGCATCATTCTGTTTACATTATACGTTTCAATGCCTTCATAAAAAAAAAACAATGGACTGATTACAACACGTTTAATTAAATTGAACTTTTTATTTCCTTCAAAATCGCCAGGAGAGGTGAAATGTGCATTCTGGATTTTTATACAAACATTTTCTACATTTGGAATGGAACCAGACACACTTTTCCATCGACGACGTTTCTGTTGCAAATTGCAAACGTGTAAATTATTCCTGAAAAAGTCTTGCAAACGAGCTTCCCTGCACAAAGGTGCAAAGGGGTTCATTGGGTGATCTCCATCTGCTCACAATATGTGAAGACCTAAGTAAATGTACTGTGTAATATTATTGCTGCAAGACGGTGGTGTTGAAATTAGTGCACATTTATCTTGACCAACAATGCTGCAACACTGAGCTCGAAGAGAACAAGTGAAGATTTGGAGTGGAATCGTGACCAGATGTGAACTGTGAAGTTACAATGAAAATGCCAGAGAGAACAGGGGGAAAAAATATGATCAGTATGTTTGGACTGGGGAGACCTCAATGATCACCAACTCTTTTGGATTTGGTACTCACATACTCATCATTTACCCTTTGAAAATGCTCAGAAGAAGTGGACTCCGTGGGGCAACACTGTAAGAACTTGCTTTTGAGTAGTGAGGGACAGTCTTCCAATTGCTCAAAATCAGCAACTTTTAATCAAAAACCCAGAAAGGAGTGAATTGGCGATTCCTAGTTACTGAACTGAACTGAGTCTGACAGCAAACGTGTCTTCAAACAAACAGTCTATGTTGTGACCAAATCAATACCTGTTGCTGAAGGATGACAGGTTAGTTCTTTTGGTTTATTTTAAGTAACTCGTGTTGGATTTAACGTGCAATTGCATGACTGATGAATGACATGCCTGATGAATGACATGCCTGATGAGTGACATGCCTGATGAATGACATGCCTGATGAATGACATGCCTGATGAATGACATGCCTGATGAATGACATGCCTGTTGAGTGACATGCCTGATGAATGACATGCCTGATGAATGACATGCCTGATGAATGACATGCCTGATGAATGACATGCCTGTTGAATGACATGCCTGTTGAATGACATGCCTGTTGAATGACATGCCTGTTGAGTGACATGCCTGTTGAATGACATGCCTGATGAATGACATGCCTGATGAATGACATGCCTGATGAGTGACATGCCTGTTGAATGACATGCCTGTTGAGTGACATGCCTGTTGAATGACATGCCTGTTGAATGACATGCCTGATGAATGACATGCCTGATGAATGACATGCCTGATGAATAACATGCCTGTTGAGTGACATGCCTGTTGAATGACATGCCTGTTGAATGACATGCCTGTTCAATAGCAGCATGATTCATCCTTGGCAAGTGAACATCATATGTGAATCTCAGTGAATATGGGCGAATATTCCTGTTAATCGAGTGCTCTCCAAAGTTGAAACATGGATAAAGCACATGCTATTTGCAATCTGTGGCATGGACACAACACTCAGCCCAACCCAGCTTGTTGGTAGTGTTCAATGTCAGGATAATCACTGGGTGCTGACATGCAGCAAGGACTGAAGAACAGAGAGCAAACGTGCAAACATCATGGGAGCTCATTAGAACACAAGCTGCTGAACTGGGTGACAGTGGTTTGAGTTAGTAGGTGGGCTCCTACTTCTTGCTGCTTATTATGGAGTGAAAACACATTCCTCTCGATGTTTAGGTTTTTCTCTGGGCTGCAATCAACTTTAAGCAGTTTTGTGGAAGGGATGCAAATATGATGTGCTTTCATAATCCTGATATTCACATTTTAAGACTTCCTGCTTTCTTTTTAAGTGAATATTACTCGAAAGAAAAATAGAAATGATTAATTATTCATACCCATTGAAGAGAGAATGATAGGCTGCGAGGTGTATAATCTAAGGTATTTTCTGTACAGAAAAGGGGGGCATTTGGATCTGTGCCACTGCTACTTGTTTTTCTATAATCATTATTATTTTTCTCTCTTTTTTAATTAATCCCAGTTTTTCAGCATTTTTCCCCTCTACTATTAATGCTTTACCACTCATTTGATTATCTGGCTCCCTTGTGAACAATCTTATTGATCCAGCCTCAATAACTACTTGTGGTAATGAATTAAAAATGGGTTTCATCAAACTCACTCTGAAGATCCCACTGATTTCCTCCTTTGAAAGAATTTCATTTTGACTATTGTTTTCTCAGTACAGAAGTGTACAGATGTGCACAAATCATCTTCGGTAAAGATCTGAAATGAATCCCGTCTGTCAAATGTTTTTTTTGTGAAACGGTTTGAAATGTATTTTTTGATATTTATTTGAAATGATAATAGCTTTGTGTATTTGAGTAATGGAAATCCCCGGTCATTTTCTTGAGTGCCCTGACACCTTTTACCTCATAGCGAATCTGTTTAAGATGCACCTGTGTGTGTTTGTTTATTTGCAATTGTTCATCATTGGGTAGTTTGTTCCCAGTCTCAGTCCACTCCACCATCTGAGGCCCGAGATGCTGGAACTCTCTGCCTCAATCCCTCCGCTTTGTCCCTTCCCTGTCTTGTCTTCAGATCACACCTGAAGACTTTCCTCTTTGACCTTGCTTACGATCACCTCCCCTGTCTCCCTGGCTCAACGTCAAGCTCGGAAACTGTTTAGCACTCCGAGGCTCTCCCAGTGTGAAGCGGACTATATAAATGCAAGTTGTCGTTGTCATAATTGAAATCCATTCGTGGCTATGGATTCAGATTGCTGACTATTCATAGTAATCAACTGTCTTGTTACTAGATGTCAGCCTGGTTTAGTTGGTAAACGCTTGCTTCTTAGTAAGATAGCTGTGGGTCCCAAAATGCACAGTCACTACACTTTATGGAAAAATCCTGTGACATGCTTTGAAACATCCTTCCCCAGTGAAAGGTTCGATATCAAATGCATGTCACTTATTATTATTACTATGTTGCATGTGGTGTGTTTGGTGTTTATTAGCCACAAATACATTTTCAAGGAATGTGTTTACAGGGACAAGGGTAAACATGCCTCTGTTTACCTAAAATAAGCAGGAACCCAGTTGTTAATCAATTGATGGATCACTTCCAGGGCTAATAATCTCTTCAAAAATAAATAAATAGTAATAATTTTCTCACTCAATCCACGACTGTTTGTGGGACGCTGCTGTGCGCAATTGGCTGCCGCATTTCGCCCACAGAATACACAGTCAATTCACTTGACAATATACTCTGTGAAGCTCTTTGGGATGTCTCAACGACGTGATGAGGTGCGATATGAAATGCAAGGATTATTATCATTATTGCATTTTTCATTGAACAACAAGAAACTGCTAAGAATGTCTACACTTTAAACTGTTTGATTTAGACCTTATTGTGTGCATAACATCCATCAAAATATTGTCAGTAAATATTTTTTTGCCCAATTCAATTATTAATACTAATTTAACATTTCTGCATTTTTTATTAATAAAAAGTGTGTGGATTCATCCATATACATATAAATATTTTCTAAAAATATGGTCTTTGTCTTATTGGCCTCCTTCAGTTGTTTGAGGTGATGTTCTCTCAATCTTCTGGCTATGCAGATTGTCAGGCGTTTGCGTGGCAGTAACACAGATTGATATTCTCTCCTTGTTATCTTGCAGTAAAGTTCTTTGCCTCTACCCGCTGTCTTTTCACAATAGCTTGGGTTTTATCTCCCGACTTACCATGCGGGGAATCATGTTAGGGGGAGAGAAAAAAGGGAATTCCCAATAGCTCTGTGTTGCAGCTTTTCAATGTGCCGCAACGACAGACAACCACATAAATACATTATTCAGTGGGACGCTGTCATATTCAGCTCTATGCTGACCTCAGATTACTATTCGCTCCATCTGTCTACAATTTAATGCCCCAGATATAAATTCACAGTCCCAGTTTGTGCCTGGAAACATACAAATGCAGCTGAATCAGAAAGGCTTAATTATTCGTAAACATACACGCATTTATTTTTGTTTGAAAAAACGATCACCATAATTTGGTTGAAATTATTTGTTGTCCAGCAAAATATACTGTGAGTCAATGGATTAAGGTTTCTATTGGATAGCTTTAGAATATATGACTTCTCAATGTAGGGTTGTTACATCAGCGAGTCTTTAGGCAGGATAATTTTTTTCAGCTGCCGGGTAATAATGATAATAATCCTTGTAATTGATATAGTGCCTTATCACGTCTTCGAGGCGTCTCAAAGCCCTTCACAGAATTTACTGTAAAGTGACTCTATATTTTGTGGGTAAAAAGTATTGCCTACTCTGAAATTGTTGCTCGTGTGGTACAAACTGAATGACTATTCAATCTTCAGCAGAGCAGAGAGTGTGCATTCCATTTCCCCCAAATAATTGCTGTTTACACACCATAAAAATATGGAAATAATTAACGTTTTTATACTTTCATTGCTCGCATTCTCACTTGATGAATATAAATCAAATGCAAGGATTATAATTTTTATCAATAATTAAAGTTAAGTGTTACTTAATATTTGAGAAACCCTCCCCCTCTCCACTTTGCTGTTTTTCATTCCTTTACCATTTTTCTCGCTAACAATTTCATTAACCTTTTCTATTCCATTCCGTGCTGCCTTGCTCTCCACTCCTATTTCCCATTCTGTTTCCCTCGCTTCATTCCTGTAACTCAGTCTTTGCCACCCGGTTCTGCTATAAATAAAGAAGAACATGTTAGTCATGGTGCGATATGGTAGTTATAAAATAGCCGTTTGTGACTTCACAACGCTTAAGGAATGAAGCCACAAGTGTTTCGATTTGAGTTCCATCAAGTAAGAGTTGTAACCTTTAATGTGTAAACTAATACTGGTGTTAATCGTTGCGGCATTGGACATTGTGGCCAATAGTAATCAAAACCATTACTTATCCAGGAGTATTTACTCCTAACTCCATCATATCACACTGGTGATAGGCCTGAAGTTCACAAAGTGTGGAGGTTGGACTGACACAGATAGTGGTACACTGGTTGAATACAACAAAACATATGAGTAAAGCTGATATGTTGCTAACTGGTGCTCCATTGCTGCGATATATGGGTCGGCCAGGTTTAATGGGAAACACTGGCCAGGCTTGCATTTGAAAACATTGCAACTTTCTACATGACTGTGGCAGGTATTTATTTCTTGTTTATACTGTGTTATACAAATTGATGCAAAAGTAGTGACATATCAGTTCACTTCAAAAATGGCCTCTCATTCTTGGGCAGTCCAGGTTATTACTGGGGCGATGTAGCTTGTTGTTAAAGAGAAAAAGTTTCAAATTAAAAAAAAAATTGTGTGTGTGTGTGTGTGAGGTATTATGTATGGGAAAGATGAAGGGGTGGGTGAAATATTCTGCAGGTTTTACGTCATTACTTTTGGATTTATGGATTATCCATGCAACATTTTCTGTTCTGTAAAGCGCTTTGAAATGAAAGGCTCTAGAAAAATGTAAATTGTTCTTGTAATTAAATAGGTTGAACCACGACTATATATGTATAATATCCAGTTACATTTTGTAAAAAAANGCTACACTGGAGTGCACAGTACAGACTGGTTCTGTTTGTCTCTGTGGCAAAATCATACTGAGTGACAATTCATTAGAAAACCCACAGTTTTTGGAGCCAATAGAACTGAATGCTGTAAGAGAACACTGTAAATTTACAGTACAGAGAAATGTGTCTCATCTCAATGAAAGCACAATAACATGACTAGACAGACTTCTACTACACTGTATGACAGCTTTTTCCCTGGCCATTAACACGTTTAGAATGCC